GCAAGGAGCCTGCAGCTGGAATAAAAACTAGGACTCACAGGGGTCTAGATCCAAAGCCCACATAAATGCAGTACAAGACCTTTCACTAATTTTATGGGACCAGGTAGCAGGCCTGTAGTTCACTGAAGACACTAGAGGCCTTCCAGACTGTATGATACAATGCGTTAAATAATCCTTAATGGCTAGAAGAGAATTTTGCAACCACTTTGAACATTTCATTGGTATTTAGGGTATTTTGGGGGAGAAAGAGCACTTCTGTCTCTTGTGTCCTGTCCCCTCCCGGGTCAATCCTCACAAAACATAGATGTTTTAAGACACTGGAAAAAATAATCAGTCACCAGCAGATTTGAAGCTTAAAGAAAAAAAAATCCCTGGTTTTATCATAGGCATATTGTTGTAATTGGTATGCGTGAGCTTGCATTCAAAGAAAACTCATTTGTTAAAATTAATCACCGACTTCTCAGCCAATTTGTCAGTAACTGCTATCAAGTCTGGACACGATTAGCTTCACTGAGAGATACAGGGTGCCCTCTATAACGCTTCCAGAGGATGAAACCCTAAACCCAGTGAAGCCTTTGAACGTTTTGCAAACAACTTACGTGGAGCCAGGACCTCATGGATGCTGCTGTAGGCTCCACTTTTTTTGCTTTTACAGATTAAGCCTTTCTAGGAGAGACAGGCCAACAGCTCCGACAATAAAACGCACTCTTTCTCCACGAGCAGACAGAGCACGATTAGCAATCACGGGTCCCTAGGCTGTGTTTGGAAACACTTAGCTGGCGGGATGGGTTTGAGGCTAAGATGAGGCATGATGTGCTTGTTAGCCACTCTAACGAGTCTTTCGACAAGGGGGGGCTGGCTCTGCTCATCTAATTGTGGTGGCTGCTCCCATGCTGTGGAAACCTGTCTATTAGAAACCACATTTCACAGGTAGCTAAACAGTCATCAGATGGTCACAGCTTTCATTTGTCACCGACCTCCCTCCCCTACCTCAGCATAAGGGTGAACAGCCCGATGCCCCGTTACCGGTCCAGACCCAAACACCTCCTGCTCTGCGTAGTGAATTATAAAATACCCTCAACATTTTTTCAGATTTGCAATGCACTGTGTCGAAAAAGCACTCTGAACTAGCACCTTTTTATCTAGGGATCAGCCTCTTAAAAGAATGTCATATTCTGCACTACTCAGCTGTGCAAAGACTGAGGGCATTTTGGACCACGATAGTAGAGTGCATTGCTATATTTTTATACACAGAAAGTATTTACTTAGGTCCTTGTCCCTCAAACAGAACATCGTGGGCAGAAGAGACTCGGTATTTTGTAGAGACAGGATCAGAGCTTCTGCTGAGGGACAGACACGACGGTGACCAGACCAAAAGTAGTCCTTCCAGTGATGGACTGAAAGGCGGCTCCGCTACCAAAACTAAACACAGAACTTAGCACAGCAGAGCTACTTTAAACTGAGGATCCTATAAAGATCCATCATCACGTTTTACACCGCCTGGACCTTTGACTCCATCAGTGACATAATGGAGTCATAAAGTTTCAGAACAAGTCAACCCATCTCACTAAGTCCTCTGCATCTGGTGGGCCACCTATCTTCCACCCAGACAGAGACGTATTGCAAGGGAAGAAGAAACTCTCCCACTTAACAGCCGTTTGGTTCACGTGATTTTGTGTTCAGTCCCCAGAGAGCACTCGCAGTCATCTCACAACCCTAGCTATAAAACACCCTAATCTCAGGTAGCATTTATACAGCTTAATACGATAAACAGTGGATTGTACAAAACCTGCGGTGAATCCTGCTCCGGCGACACTCGCAGAAGCTATGCGAGGAATAACATTTCCACCGAGACTTCCGAGGCGCAACCTCCCAGAAAGCACAAGGCAGTAGCACACACAGCCAGCCGTACGGCCGCAGCTCCGACGGAACCGAACGGCCCACCCAGGCCACCGCATCCCAGGGCCCGGCCCACCGCACCTCCAGCAGCGCGGAAGACGTGGCCCCTCCGAAGCGGCCCGTGTCCAGGAGGGCTCTGAGGGCCTGCAGACCAACAGGCTCTGGCAGAGCAACCTCCCGAGGTCCAGGGCCCTCATCCAGAACGCTGGCGACAGCTCCCTGACGTTTAACCCTCCAAGCATCTGTCCTTCTGGAAAGAGCCGGTCTCTGAAAAATGCCTACAACAAACATAATGGTTTTGGCAACGCTTAGCCCTCAGGGACAGCTACTGAAGCACTGTTCCTAGTCTATGTAAAATTTTCAGACCAAATAAAAATAAATCTGATTTTCTTAACAAAATTGCTTTGCTCGGAAGTGTTACTGATCAAGAAAATCAGTTTTCTAAGGCTGCACCGTAGAAAAGACTGCATCTAAAATACAAAATGTTTTCATAAAACCAGTAGCAAATACCATTTTTTTTTTTTTTTCACGCTACTCTCAGGTACAATATGGTAGTTGTAGTCAGCTTTCCATATGATCTTGCACCCTAAATATGACACCATGAGTTCTACTGGAGGAAGACAGCATTTATTATGTAATTAATATATATGTGATTAAGCACATAAAGAAGGGTTTGCTTTATCTGAACCTTTCATTGTAAATTCTTTGTGGTTCATTCCATGGCACTACTTTTACATTCTTAAAATCATTTTCAAGACACGTTATCACTGGAAGAAATACTCTTAACTTCAGTAACTATTTAAAAAGTTTCAGACAAAAAGTAATTGCAACTTTCCTATTTGTGTCATGGTTTGGTGGATACCTCAATATGAACAATAGAGTTTTAAGGAAGTTCAAAACATATTACCGTATCATGTCACACAGAAAAATTGCTCTGAATTATTATCAGCAAAATGACAATGCAACTGCTTTTAGTTATGCAAATTGGAAACGTAGTGGCACGACAGCAAATGAGAGCCTAAAAAGTGCAAAGTTCAGGGAAAAGCCACGCATGCAGCTGCTCCAAAAATAACCATGGTCAGATAAAAGTCTGAAAGCAATTATTTGGGCTGAATATTGTACAGAGACCACTGCACTAAGCTTCCACAATTAAAGAAGACAAAAGTTCAGATGGTGCCTAATAAACCATTTACTACATTAATTATATTCAAGTGTGGCAGTCTAATGCTTGGTAATAACTAACAAGAAGGGAAATAATTTAAAGAGAAGTATCTGATGTTGTAAATTTCTTTCTTTTTCATTCATCAGTACCAATGTTACTAGCCAGCCTTTCTAACACACTTCAAACGCGTGAAAGGGATACTGCTTAGTGTCAGGAAGAGCTATTTAAGGGTTGTAAACCTTTACTCTGAGGAAGCCAACAGTCTTACTCGACAAAAATTATTTCTGCACTACGAAAGTAGCAGCAAAGCCAGATTTTCCGTTCCTTGAATCAAGTCCCTATGCCTTTGTTCCAAAGTTACGGTGCCACAGGGGCACCCAATTTTTTTGTCGCAGCAACTGCATCTCAACAGACCTTTGCAGAACAACAGATTTACCACCTACCCTATTCCCTGGATTTACCTTCACACCAATCACACAGCATTTGTATACATCTGCAATTTCAGTAGTATTTGCAGCAATTTCTTATCAAGATAATTAATATTAGAGAGATATTTCATACATTTTGGCTTCTTTTAATGCCATTAGTAGCTCAATACATGGAAAATGAACCAACACCATATGCCCAAGTACTTCTCTGTAGACCGCAGGCCAATTGCTTAGCAAATACAGGGAAGTACCCAAAACACAATCTGAAAATTACTGCAGAGAGATTTGCATACAATTTCTGATGGACCAGTAGCATTCCAGCAACTTATGTAAAATCCAGCATGCTCCACTAGTATATGCAGTAACTAACAAACAGAGCGTCAACTCACAATGCAGTCATTAGGATGCTACCAACAGGATGCTGTTTTATCTCATTTCACTAATCTGAAATAGAAAAAAAAAAAATTCTGTAGCATTACAGTTATTTTCTATTTCAATTTCTTAATTTTAAATCAGGAAATGGTATCTCCAGACCTTATGTGCAACTCTATGCTTAATCTAAGATGGCATTTAACAATCATTTTGCAGATTTCAAAGAAGGACAGAGAAAATTTGAACATATAACTTTGTCCATAACGTCCTTCCACTGGAAGGTTTACAGATGCAATCCTAACATCCCTTTAAGCTCCTTTTATAAAAAGTTTTTATAGAACCTTCCCTATTGTTTGGCCTTTCTTTTCCTTTGCTCCGTAGAAAACACATCGCAAAACACAGACATAGAGGTTTGCAACTTCGCAACAAACCTCTAACACTTTGTATACATCCTCCAATTCTGCACGTGCAGTGCGGACAATGCTGGGAAATCCTGTCCTCTGCCCAGATGAACTGTAGAAGAAAAAGAGTTCTCTGACCACTACATCAGGAGTTGCAGAGGTCCTAAACTCCATCACAGAAGCCTTCTGCCTACAAACAGTTCCAAGTCTTCACTTACAAGATCTCAAATCCAGCACTTTCCCAGCAAATGGCAAGCGGAGCCCTGCCTGCTTCAGCAGAGGTGTCTGCAAGACACCCCGCTGTTGTCAGCTGCAGCATCAGTGCCGAATACCCCCGGGTTTGAGCACACAGGCAGGACCTCACCTCCAGACCCTTTATCACGGCTTCTCATTCAGCAACAAACAAAACATCTCTTCCCAGTAGCGCAGCTTTTGGTCTTTGCAAGACACACACAAAACCAGTGGGTAACCACCACAGGACTTCCAGTCAAAGAGTATTTTAATCAGAGAGTGCTTATGAAGGAAAAAGACCTCTAAACTATATTTCAACTTTAAAATAACAATAAAAACCCCTGTTTAAAAAAAAAAAAAAAATCTGCAAGAGCTTCATCTTCAAGAGATAAAAATGTAGCAGTTCCTTCCCCATATCCACAAGCCCCCCACTATCAAAACCAACTGAATCACTTTTGCATGAGTTTTCCAAACACAAAAAGATACAGACATATATATTAAAATTACCTTGATGCAGACACCACGCCTGGAAAGTTTCATTGCAAGGGGTTAAAGTTCAGAAAGTTTGCAAGACTGAAAAAGGAAAATCAGATTGAAAAACGAGCATAAACCTTAACCTTGAGGTTTGCTGCTGCCTCCTGCCTATCACTTAACATTTCTCTCCACATGAAGAAATAACTAAATCCTACTCCAGCAGTTTTCAACTAAATTACTTGAATGAGCAACCCAATCAAAGTTTTTTCTAGTACCAACTGAAACACATTACCATGGCAGAATAGACTACAAATGGTAAAGAATTAGAGATGACAATGTTCCTGATAAAATATATAAGCAGACCACAAAAGTGATCTACGCTTCTTGTTACAGGTAAATTCGCCGAGACCTTTTTTTTTTTTTTTCCTTTGACAATATCGATTTTTACATGCTAATGCAACTGCCTAACTATTTATAAGCGCAATCTGCAAAAGCAAATACAGAACTAATAGAATAGCCTTGAAAAGCAACCACAAAAAAAAGGTCTCATTTAAATTCCTGGAAAGCACTGCTTCTCTAAACATATCTATTCAAGCTCTCTTGAGCAGGCGAGCCCTACTAAAAACACACACTGCATACTCCCCGCCTGAAAACTGTTAAGCCAAGAAGCCACTAAGCTATGCCACCGAGAATCCATATGGCTTCACGTATAGGATTTTCCTCCCAGCGAACGCTGCACAGTAGAAACCCACCCCCTCGCCTTCCCACCCCCCCCCCCAAAAAAAAAAAAAAAAAGACAAAAAAACAAAAAAACCCAACCAACCAAACCCAAAACCACAAAACCAAAAGCAAAAACCAACAGGGAAGTGCTCTGGGCCCGGGGTGCCCCCCACATACCGCGGGGCGCTCAGGGCTCTCCGGGGTGCCTGCCCCCCGAGGTGCCGCAGCCGGGCCGGGGCGGGCGCTCCGCCTCGCCGCTCCCCCCGCGCCGCCGCTCCCCCCGCATGGGACCGGCCGCCGCACGCACAAAGCGCGAGGGGCACCCCGGATCCCCCCCCCAAACCAACCCACCCCCCCACCCCCCCCCCCCTTCCCCGGATCCCGCCGGATCGCCGTGGCACCAGCGCCCGCAGCTCACACGGGCACCGGGCGGCTCGCAGCGGCGCGGCACCGCCCCCCCCCCCCCAAACACACCCACCCCCCCTCCTTCCACCGGGCGCTGCCCACCCCCCCCGGGAGCCGCCGGCCGCCCCCGCCGCTGCCCCCCCCCGGCCCCACCCGGGGTGGGGATGGTTGGGGGGGGGGGGGGGGAAGAGGAGGAGGAGCCCCCGCCCCCATTACCTCGCAGGCGGAGCCGGGCGCTACGGCGGCGGGGAAGGGGGGGGATTAAGCGGGCTGCCGGGCGGGGGGGGGCCGCCTGCCTGGGGCCGGGGCCGGGGCCGGGGCCGGGCGGACATGGCGGGGCTGCCCCGGGGCCGTGCCGCGCCGTCCCGGCTCATTGTTCGGAAAGGGCAGCGGCGGGCGGGGCGGCCCCGGCGGGAGGGGCGGGCGCTGCGGCGGGAGGGGGCCAGCCCGGAGCCGGGGGGGCAACGCCGCACCTTCCTCCGCAGGGGTAGGGAGTTGGGGGGGGGGCAGCCCTGCATCTTCCCTGCGTGGAGTGGGGGGGGGGGGGAGGGAGTGCGTGGGGCCAGCGGCGGCGGAGCACCTTTCCCCGCGCTGGCTGGAGACGGGGAGGGATGGGGAAGGGGGGGATGCAGTGCGGGGAGGGGGGGGGGGGGGGGCACGCTGCGCCTTTCCCCGTGTTGGCGTGGCGGGGCCGGGGGTCTGTGCTGGAGAAGTTGAAAGCGGGAGGGCAGGGTGGGAGGTGAGCGGGCGGGGGGGCCGGGCCGGCAGCCCTCTCGCCTCCCCCCCCCCCCCCTCCTTTCCCTCCCCTCCCCACCCTCGGCCTGCCGAGCGCGGAAAGCGGCACCGGGACCCCGGCACCGGGACGCGGGAGATCTCCCTCTGTCCTGTCCGAAAAGTTAAAGCCAATGATCCTTTCATCAGCCCTCCCCACCCCGCGAGCCGGAGTTGGTGAGGCTCTTGCACCCACGCTGCGTGGAAGCGTCGCAGCCAGCTTCGGCTCTTTTTTAAGATGAGGCTCCGTTAATGAAGGAAATATTTTAAGCTTAAAGGTCTCCTGAGAAGAAACGCATTAACTCGCTCGTAAAGCGGCTGGGGAGGCTGTTGGATCGGCGAGCACAAAGGAGAGGAGGGAGCGCAGGGATGCTCCGGCCGGGGCTGCAGTGGGGTCCCCCCCCCCCCGCCCCCCGACCCGAACGGCCCCCATCGCCCCTGTCCTGCTCCCAGCGCCCGTCCAGCGGCACAGAGAAAGAGAAATATTGGCAGTACAATCGCTGCTGTCCTTTCGCAGCTTACCGAGCAGCTAAAAATACCTTCGAGCGTATTTTAGCGTCTTTGTTCGGGTCGAGCCGCAGTTTACTTTGCAAACAGTCGAAGTAAGTCTTCGCTTACAAAGAATCAGCACCATGATAGATAACCTTGATTGTGCTGAATCCGTGCTCTAAGTTAAGCATCTGTGTAAATGCACCTGAGACTGTAGCTTCTTTGTGCCCGTATTTGTAAGGTGTAAGGTGATCAGAACAACGTGCCTGCCAAAGGCATGCCTTCAAAGCTACGGAACAAGTGTCGAAATCAAAACAATTAGTGCTGAAGTAAAAAAAAAAAAAAAAGATGCCACTTGCTAAATTAAGAGGTAGCATCACAAGGATGTGGAAGACAAAAGACAATCAAGAATAGGTTAACAGTTTAAAAAATATGAGTGTTGAAATAACACTCCGTGCCAAAAGCAAGAAATGATTGTAAATCCCAGAGAAGTTCATCCACTTACTTATTCCATTTGACTGAGAAGTTTCATGAATTGCAAAGCAATTAGTGGATAAAAATAACATTTTTGCCCCCAGCCCAGGACTTTGTGAAAACAAATTTTAAACCTAGAGCTAATTTCTTCAAAAATTCCTAAAAAATTTCCTAATTTACCAATGTAATACGATACGATGCAAATGGGTTTTCTTACATGCATGTGATAAAGGCAACAAAAATGCAATTGAAAGGAACTGCCATGTAGATATACTCACAGATTGGCTCTGTGGGCACACTGCTGCTTGAGGGATAGTCCTGTGTAACACTCATTCAAAAATCTAAATTTATAAACTCAGTTAGCCGTTACGGATATTTTCCCAGTAATTTTTTTTTGCCCAGGCTTGCCACATCTGTCAATAAAACAATATTCTGGCTCATACAATAAACCATAAGCACATGTTTTGAAAAACAAAGTAAAAGGTACATAACACTTACTCAATTTTTGAATTTATTTAATTAATTTTAAACTACAAATCTAAATTTGTAGAAGTCTATGGACTTTTCCATCTGTTACTATTTTAAAATGTGCTGTTCTTTAGTAGGCTCATTTTTAATGTACCAGTGAAATAGAATTTCAATTTGGAATAGAATATGAATGAATAGCATAAATTAAGTGAATATTACAGGGAAGCTGGTAGCAGTGAGGTATTCTACGTGGGAAGCTGAGGTAGTTTAAACACAGTATCGGGAGAGCTTGCTCCTGAAGACTCCGCTTCCTTTCAGCAAAAGACTTCCAGAATGGACAGTTGGATTGGTGACAAATAACGCTGGTTGAGCACAATTTTTATTGATTGCAGTGGGAGTCGGCCCTACACATCTAAATGTAAAATTTATCTGCAGAAGGCAGGTGGAGTTAGTCTGCAATCCAATAAGGTTTGCTTCTGCTTCTGACATTCTGCTTTTTGCTTAGACTCCAAATGGAAAGAGCTCTGCATCCTGTATTGGCCTGATTCTGTCTTCAATTTCAGTGGTGTAATAAAGAACAGCTTCCCTAGAAACCAGCAAAGTGAATTGGGATAAGGTCTGTGAGATCAGCATCAGGCCCCCACGATATCAGAGCAGCCCTGGGGAAGGGTTTGAGATCAGAGGACAAAGTAATTGCCGGCAAGTCCAGAATGGTAAAAAATTTACTTTCCCGCATTCACAGCTTGAAGAATTTGTCTTTGATATAAATTGATAACAATAGGGTAAAGTTACACACAGTTGCTGTTGCTTTGTTACTGAGTTTGACAACTGGTATAGGTGCATCTATCACTTTGTTTTGTTACAGTGTTAGAGCAATGCATATAAATAAAGGGGATAAATAACCTAATTTACTATGAGCAAGAGTCACAGTATATTAAAAACAGTGACACAGAGAAAGCTTTCGCCTCTTCTGGAAAAAGTTACACAACAGCTCTTTGTCGTCATCATTTAAAATGGCAGGGTACAGTACACAAAGATCCTTAAAGCCCAGGCACAGACCCATTCAACCTTTTCAAAATACATTCTTTGCTAATATGGCTCCACTGATGTAAAAGGGATTCTCCTCCACTGACTTTGCCAAAGCTGAATTTCATCCAAGTAATTGCAATTTTAGTTCAGAACTATTCTGGTTTTGAACAAAAGAGGTGCTCTTAAGGTTACGTTAATGAGTGAGCCCCGGGTACCCGCAGATCGTTCATCTCCCACTTCTCACGATTCCCCAAGTTAGTTTTCTGCCATTGGTCCTGGAGGGGACACGTTAGGTGGGTTACTGCTCTCTTTCTGCAAACCCTCAGACAGCTGGGAGGTGCATGCCGTCCCTCTTTGGGGCAGGGAAGGAAGGAGCACGCTGCAGCCTGTTCCCTGCAGCACCTCGGGAGGCAATGAATCTCGTAGCTCTTCAGCAACGCTGCCCCCAGGTAAGGCTCCCATGGCCGGGCATTCCCATCCTGGGGTACCCGGAGGGACCTGCAGTCATCCCATGCCGTGTTTCTCGTTAGTGATGACCCGCCTTTTGTTTCTAATCATCAAGCAGTTTTTGAATAAGCTGGAATTACTGCTGTTGGCTTCTGCACACCTCAGATGCGTTTCAGCGTTGTAGCTGTTGAGATGCAAACATGCGTTTAGAATCAGAGCCTACAGAGCTCAGTTAACAGCTCTCCCTTAGGAGAGAGCGTGGCCTGGTTTCTTTTCCTCATATCGTCTCATGGCAGGTGATTGGTAGAATTGCCTCCTCTCCAAAGCAAGCTTTGCCCTTCAGAAACGTCCTGATGAAATTCTCCCTGGCTCCGTGGCGAGGCGGTTTAGTTTCAGATGGGTACGTACAGTTGGCTGGGCTCTCGGGGCTTGTCGCACCCTGGCTGACGGGTACTGCTGTGTGTGTACAAGGTGTTTCTAAAAGCTCCTTTTGTTTGCACAGAACAGACGGGAGGAAAAAAAAAAAAAAAGAAGGGGAGGGTGTTTGCCAGCATGGCATAGGTCATCTCTGAAAGAATTGTGTATCCTGTTGCATGTGTGCCTGAAGAGCCGGCCCAGACGCACGCTAGTGCTCGTTGCGTCTCAGCAAGGTGCAGCAGGAGATGCAAATGGGTGCGAGTTTGGAGCCTGCCACCAAGTGTAAGCTGCAGCACCTCTGAAGCAGCCCTGGGGCTCAAAGATATGAAGGATAAAATTTCTTTCTAGTTTTCTCTCCTCTCGAGGAAAAGTGCTAACTTACTGCTGACTTGACCTGTATTAATAAATAATTCTTATCCTTCAGTGCTGGCTCAGGTGTGGAAGCTGGTAAGCAGTCACAGCCTGTTCTTTGCTTTCTTCTCCCTCATATTTGCCTTAGGAAGGAAGCATAGACTTTCATGTCCACAGCACGGACTTTCAACCAGACCAGGGGCACCTCTCCGTTTATTCCCTTGCACGTGTAAAGCCACTCAGGCCAAGTCATGTCCCACCTCTGTGACTTCTCAACAAGGATCCAGACTCATAAGAAACAGTAAAAAGCTGAAATGAAAAGACAGAGGTGCCTGAGTTCTCTTCAGCTTGGATTTTTCTGCCAG